AAAAAAAAATCCTCTTTGCAATACTTGTCTATGTACAATATTAATTGAAAATTTGAATATGTACATTTTAAATAATTGAATTAAAAATGTAATTAAAGTTTCTATATTAGATGTTTAAAATAGTTTATTTCTATAAAATAATCTTAACATTTAAAAGCACATTGATACTTGTCATTTTTCGTAATTTGACTCTCAAAAACACTTTTTAAAGAAAATTAGCCAAACACAAATTTCATCAAAAGCACTTTTCAAATGAATTTGCCAAACACAAATTATTATTTTATTTTTTTTGAAAAACACTATAAAAAAAACGCTTCTAAAAAATAAGTAGTTTTTTTTAGCAACAATGTCAAACAAGCTCTTAATAGTTCCATAACTAAACATCATAAATCAAAAATATGTTTTCAAGTGATATCCGCCAATTCTGTAAAATGTGGGCATGAAGTTGTATTGTTTTGAAGTTATTATGCGTTTTATTCCTATTTTCTAAAGCATCATTTTATACAACTTTGTTTATCAAATTTAACGGTCGAATTATTTAACCGTTAGCTTCGGCCGAGTTGAAATATGGAAATAGGAGGGTTTTTAGGTCATTTCACATTCACATTCTTGGTTATTTAAGGACGAACTTACCCTGTTTCCCACCAAAATCAACTACATGCATTTTGAATCTTGATTTTCATCCCAGAAGGCGAATCAAGATGTCATTTTTTTCATCAACAACACCACTTCTTCCTCCACCGAGCATTAGACAGATTTGGGGTGTCAACACCAAAGAGGAGTTTCAGTTGATCGAGAATACTGAACATCCATATATGTATCTATTGATACTGAATTTCCTGGATGCATCATTAAGGTGCAATCGTATATGCAGCTTAAACCTCAAAATCGATATGAGTTAATGAAGTCAAACGTTGATTCTACAAAACTAATTCAATTGGGCATCACATTGACAAATGAATCGGGGGATCTTTCTAAGTTTACGTAACAACGTGTCACGCCCCGAGCCTACACCCTGGGCGGGACCGGCACTCGGAGACCATTGCTGGCCCCAAGCGAACCCTTGGCCTGGCTTTCTTAACTCAACGGAAACCTACTCAACAGAATAACTCAATGCTATGCAGAGGCATAAACAACTTAAATGATACATATCTGGCCAAAAAGGCAACTCGAGTCTCAAAATAGAATACTTACATATATACATAGATAAGAGACTCAAAACTAACTGACTGACTGTCTATGAAGCCTCTAAAATACTTAGATGGATGTTGGGACAGACCCCACAACACCCTAATAAACAAAACTAAGAGAACAAAATAACTGAGCCCTTTGGAAGCAAGGAGGCTCACCACTGACTCTAGAGTGCTCAACTGGATCAACGGTGTGCAGGATGCTGATCCTGGGTACCTGCGTCTGCATCATAAAACGATGCAGGCCAATTGGCATCAGTACATGGAATGTACGAGTACGCGAGCTGGACCGCTAAAAACAACTTAAGCTTGAAAAGGGAACAAGAGATCACTTACCTTGACTCTGAGCGACTCATATACATAACTGGACTCAAAGTAAAGCAATAAGACACGAGCCACACATATAAAGCTTGTAAAAGAATGTAAACAACTTAGATCGTTAAGGATAAAATGACAACAAACTCCACTTTTCTTTTATAAACATAAAACAGCTTTTTGTGGGAGGTTCTTTAACCGACAACCACCACTACGAGCCTTAGTGATGATACAACGTTTTACCTCACGTTGCCAAATGACCATCCTATACCTTGCCATCGATATAGGACCTTACTTTTGCTTAGTGGATCCACTAGCCTAATCTTGCGTGATCATCTAAAAAGAATGATACGACAAGTCCCATGTTGGCGCATGGTTCTTATGGAGAGTTGAGTTAATATGAACTCGTGTCCCCAATTCGGTGCTCAATACTACTCCCAAAAATACTTTGGCTCATGCTTTTAAAATAACTTCTTTCTTTGATTGAGATACTTACTCAAAACTTTAGCCCAAAGGCTCCTTTGGGGAAAGAAAACGGGATTCCCTTCTTATTCAAATATAATAGCATTTACAACCTCCTTTGGGAATACTTAGTTCCCTAATAGCTTTCTCTCTCTCTCTTTTTTTTTTTTAGAGAAATCAACTTTAAACTCATGACTTAGCTTGAAACTAAGACTCTTACTTGACTTGAAACTTCACTTGACTTGGAACTATCTTTCCTTGAAGTGGAATTATGAATTCAAGGTGTTCGATCACATGTTATGGAAGGATTTTTGAACGCTTAGACGCACTTTGGAACGTCGAAAACAACTATAAAACATAGGTGAATTACTTTGGAACATGTATGAGAAAGTGAGAAAAGAAGAGGGGAAACATGACTGAGACTTCAGATTTCTGGTGACACAGATGGAACTTACGGTCGCCATCGACGGACCGTAGATGGACTTACGGTCCGTAGATTGCGTCAGAGATTTTTCCCCAGAATTTCATTTAAGAAAAAGACTAAGTGTTGGCCTACGGTCATGACTTACGGTCCGTAGGTCAGGCCACGGACCGTAGGTCGTGACCGTAGATCGATGCCCCAAAAACCAACTTCTGTTTCGATTGACGGTTGACCAGTACGGACCGTTGATCGATCTACGGTCCGTAGGTCAGTCCCGTAGATGGGGATCGACAGCTCAGAAACTTCTGCAAATCGATGGTGGATCAACCTCTAAAGGGTCATAGCTCTTAGAATCATAATCCCCTCAACATACAATAGGTTTCAACTTAATGCACAACCCAATCAAACCTCACAACGAACAATATCAACCACAACTAACAACTTCGACACTTCAACAACAATTCCCAAATCTTTTCTCAAAGCATAAAATAAACTTGGTGTGTGTGAGGGAAAGGATCAACCCACACGGAAAACTCACATACCTTGATAGGGATCACCCCCGACGAAATTCCACAATGGTCTTGACAAATCTCCTCTTTCTTCTCTTCTTCTTCTTCTCCTTCTTCTCTTCTTCAATCACAAGAACCCTAACTCTTTCTCTTACCAAAAAAAATGGGACAAAAATTATCCAAAGATCATCCTAATACAACAATATGAGCTCAAAAGAATTGGCTAGGGAAAAGACTAAAATGCCCTTAATGATTCCCGGACGGATCTCCTTGTCAACTGCCCAACTTTCGAAGGTCATAACTCCCTCATACGAACTCGGAATCGAGCAAACTCGGTGGCGTTGGAAAGGTCGTTCCACGAACTTTGCAACCATAACTGGAATTCCACCTAACTCATCCTGAGCTAGAATTTATGGCTGTTCAAAGTTGGCCAAAATTTCACATTTTCCATACTTAGCCAAAATTTTCCAAAACTTTAAATTCTTTCCAAAAAATGAAAATTTCCAATTCTAAGCCTCTTCAATTATTTCATATTGCCGGATGTTACACAACGGATGTGATATTATGAAGGATGCTTACGCAGAGACTTACTTCTATAAAGCTTCTGCAAGAAAATGGTTTCAACTTCGGCAAAATGAAGAGTTTTGGAAGGGTAGCGTATTAGCTGATCTCTTAGTTAGCTCCGGCGTTGCAGGTCGAGAAAATAAAGTGAAGGCTTATGTTCTGTTTCGAGGAGCTTACGACCTGGGTTATTTGGTGAAATTACTATCCGCAACTAAGTTACCTTCTACCTTGATTTTCTCCTTGAGTTGAAAAACTGGTTCGGAAAATTTTATGATGTAAAATACATTATCAAGAAGCACCAGATGCATGGAGGTTTGGATTGAATCGCAGAGTTTCTGGATTTGAAAAGGGAAGTAGGGGTAACGCATGACACGGGATCAGAAATTTTTTTTACTTGGAAAACATTTAAGAAAATTAGACAAACGTTATGACACTTTTTCATTATGTATTTAACGTCATAAATTTTCCGAACGAGATTTTCAATTCAATGAGAAAATCACTCAACGAAGCAGGTAACTCACTTGCTGATAATATTTTCATCAAATATCCAAGATCATAGGCTCCTTGAAATATATTTTTCATTAAGTGTACAGTTATATATTTCACGTGAAATATACATTAGTGTATACTCTATATCAAAGATACATATGATATTGATCAAGTGCATTCTTGTGTCTTGGCCGCCCTATGGCAAGTGATTTACTTGTGTCTTGGAATGTTGAAGGATTGTATGGTAGAAAGCTTTGTTTTTTGTTTGATGATTTTACAAATAAATGTTCTGTCTTTATACTACTCATTTAAGGGTTAACATGTAAATAATAATTGTCAAACAAGTCCCTACATATTTACAAATAAATCGCTTTTATATAATATTCTATAATCCTAGAACATTCTATATAAATCTATGATATTTTAAAGATGTACCATGAGATATCTTCACATTTCGCTATAATATTTCACTAAGGACTAACTTTCTTCCTAGGTAAGCCCTCCACATGGACAACTTTGTATCACATGGACACATTTGATTTAAATTTGAATTTTTTTTGCACATGTTCTCAAATATTGGTTATATATATATATATATATATATATATTGCCGCTATTAATTATATGTATTAATCTCAATAAATCATAGAACCTCATGCATGCATTTTCAATTGACGACTACAATTAACTAATTAGGTGATCGACTACTATTGTTGTTACTTGCGCACACAACCGATCCAAGAAAGAACATGAAATATATAACGGTACACTTAATGAAAAATGCCAATTTGTTTTGTGTCCCAACTTCCCATTTTTGTCTATTAGAGTAGCAATAACCAAGGCAATAATAATAAATACTCTATAAAAGTGAATTTGAATCTTCTAAGTCCCCAAAAATGCAAATCAAATAAAGGAAACAAAAAAAAAATCCTATTACTACACCTCCCAATATACTCGCATGGATCGGTAGGAAATACGACTCTGGGCACAATTTGTATAATCTCCGTAGCGCTACTTGTATAAAAGAAAAAAAAGTTATACTTTTCTATGCTAGTTTTCCTTGTATATCACTAACTGCTTATTTATATTTGTCAATGACTTGTCCGAATATTTACCTGCAAAATTTTGTAAAAAAAAAAAAACGCTAAATAATCATTGAAATCATAGGTAAAAAAAATTCGTACAGAAAATTTCAGACATCCCTACTATTAAAACCTTTCAATAGAGTTGCATAATATTTTCGACAAGGCAGAATACCCTATTATTCAGTGCATATACTACGAAAACGTTGATATCTACTTCTTGACTATTAAACCTTTTCAATAGAGTTACGTTGCATAACATGTATAAGCTGGAGGAACATAATGAAAGGAAAGGAAAGGGAAGTACGTATATACTCACAATAGAAATATGCTATAGGTATCGTGCCATTGTCGATGAGTTCAAACTTACAAGTATCTCCGACTTGGACACCATTTGCTTCTCTGAACTGTCGCCATCCCTTGGTAATTGCAATGTGATGTCCCATTGGTGCTAGCAGCACTGACCATGATCTTTGTTTCTCATCTCTGAGAATCATCTTACAACGTCTATTCACCAAGCCATTTGATTTTGCAAAAGCCGATGGAAGATACTGCTCAAGTTTTATCCCAATCAATGGCGCGTTATAACAAACAAAAAAAGAGGAGACAAATTATAAGAAAACCTATAGACTCTACAATTGCAGAATTTGGACCCCGCAAATTTCTATTTGTTCGAATATGTAAATAAATTGCAAATACGATCCAAGTAATAAATGCCCAAGTTTCTTTTGGATCCCAATTCCAATAGGACCCCCACGCTTCATTAGCCCATACCGCTCCCAAAAGAAGAGGAACAACAACGGAAGATCTTAGCTAATACTTACGAGAAAAGGACTGTAGATGCAATAGGGATTGATAGTAGAGACAAATTGAGGGTTAGCATTAGCACATGTTGAAACAGGTACATCTGCTTCATTACTTCGGGCTGAAACTCTTTTTGCGTCCAAATTAGGCTTCTTTCCTTCGGGCTGAAATGATGCATTTTCTCTCGTACCTAGTTTTAAAATTGAGTCAGAACTGAAACGAAAGACGAATTCTAAACAATAAGTAGTAAGTTGAACTGTTGAAGTAGAAAAGAGTTGTTATTGTCACAGTTCAGAAAGAAAATGAAGTTCGAGTGGAGAAGAGATGACAGAATTTCGGAAAGACAAGCATAACAATCTTGAGATTGTGTTTTTTAGACAAAGAAATCTCCGAGGGTCAGTGATGCAGAGTTCGAAACTAGGTGGATAATGGTCCGTCCCCCTAACCTTCTCCACTTAAAAAACTTGAGATTGTTAATAACTGTGTATTTTCCCTCCTGATTAATCAAAAAAAATTGAAAAGAATACGTCACGAACAAAAGAACATAACTTCAGCATGATAGAACCTGTCTTTAGGCAGTCTTTCCTACTATATATATGCAGTTTTTCGTATAGTAAAACTACTTTTAAGTCTAGAAGTTCATATACCTACCAATTTCCAGTATCAGGCAGAACCGAAAAATGAAGAACGTTAGCGAAGCAAAACAGAATTGTTATCGTCATAATTCAAAAGGCAAAATAAATACAGAGTGGATAAAGAAAGAGATGAAAAAGTATAAAATGGAAGGACTAAATTCAACTCCTAATGCTCGTCATGAGTAACAAAAAAAGATTGCTTCACACTGGAGATAGATCCTGAAAATCTTATGAAGCGGGAAAAAGATCATGATGAAATAAACAACTATATTCAAGAATCTCACTAGCACTTACAATAGTATGATGCCATCACTATTTACCATTTTCTAATAGCCTTTGTGGCAAAGAAGAAGAAAATAAAACGTTTATAAGTTGGAGGAACGTAATGTAAAGAAAGGGAAGTAAACATATACTCACGATGAAAATACGCTACAGGTGTTGTGCCATTGTCAATGAGTTCAAACTTATAAGTATCTCCTACTTGGACAGCATTTGCTTCTCTGAACTGTCGCCATCCCTTGGTAATTGCAAAACGAGGTCCCACTTCTCCTAGTTGCACTGACCATGATCTCTGTTTCTCATCCTTGAGAATCATCTTACAACGTCTCATCAAGCCATTTGGTCTTGCAAAAGCCAACGGAAGATACTGCTCGAGTTTATCCAAATATGTAGATCAATCACCACACACACAAAAAAAAGTACTACTGAAGATATTAAGGGGTTAACTCAAATTACATTTAACAAAAAGAAAAAGGAAAATGCATCCGAGGGTGTGGCTCAGTAGTGGGTTGAAAATCATGAGGTCTCAAGTTCAAATGCCAGAAGAGACCAAAACACAAGGTCAATCGAGGTGCGGGCAAGCTAACCCGGACAGCACTATTATCAAAATAGAAAAACAAAACAAAAAAAGTTAACTCAAATTACTTACGAAAAGAGCTCTGATGATAGCATAAGGCTGGATAATAGAAACAAATTGACTGTTGGCATTGGCAGATGTTGAAGCGGGTACATTTGCTTCTTCCCTTCGGGATGAAACTTTTTCAGCATCCAAATTAGGCTTCTTCCCTTCGAGTTGAAGTGATGCATTTGCTCTCAAATCTAGTTTTAAATTGAAACAACAATGTCAGAACTGAAGTATAACTAAAGATGCATGAATCTAAAACCAAAGGCAGAACATTAAGTTGAAGTGGAAAAGAGTTGTAATGGTCATAATTCAGAAAGAAAATAAAGTTCGACGGGAAAAGAGGTGATAGAATTAAAGGGCTAGTTCACTGTTGATAGTAGTAAAGAGTGAACAATCTTGAGATTGTTTTTTTTTTCTTCGTATGACCGAGAAATCCGAGAGGGCTAAGGTTCAAAACTAGATGGATAAAGGTCCGTTCCTCTACCCTTTTCCACTTAAAAACCTTGAGATCGTTTTACAGAAGCATTTATCTCAGCAGATTGATTTTTAAAATTTGAAGCGGGAAAAACTTCATTAACAACTGTGTGTTTACCCTGAATAATCAAAGATAAGGCAACACACACCGCGAAACTTTAACGATAGTTACAAAGATTTCAATAACTAGATGAATTGCATAAAGAAAAATATTAGTATTATTTAAAAAGGGAAAAGAAATAGGTAAAGAAGTGGAAAATGGATGAAATTTAAGAGAAAGGCTCAGATGAGAAACTTGCCGTAAAATCTCAATACAGGATTCATTCCATTTTCAACTATCTCAAGCATTATCTGATCTCCTTTCTTCAAGCAATTTGCAATGCAGAATTCACGCCATTTGCCTTTAATGTAGGTGTGTGCGCCAGACGAATATAGTGTAAATGTCCAAGACCTTTGCTCATCCCTTATCGTTATCGTACATTTCCTGTTCGTGAGACTGTGTTCCCGTGCAAATGAGACTGGAAGTTGCTGAAACAGTTTTCAAACCAATAGCACAAAAAACAGTTCATGTTTATTCTTCGTACTTACAAATTATCAAGGAAAAAGTAGTTCATAACATAATGAGTTCGTCTTTTTTCCCTTTTTACTCTTTTTTTTCATTGAGTGTAACAAATGAAGTAGAATTTAGTTTCGAACTTACCACATGGTCCCTTGTAAGGCAATAAGGTGTGACAGTATAAATGAAATGAGGGCGACTGAGAGGCATGTTCTCTGCAGCTTCTACTTTGGGAACAATCTCATGCGACTTGATATTAAGCTTTGGCTTTTCAGTTGTTTTTGCTAGTAACAGAAAAATACATATAAAAGATATGACAAAGAAGACTTATGAATAGTTTAACATGATCAAACATGCGTCGGAGGCAATCATTCCTACTATGTACAGCATAGTAAAACTACTATTCGACAGGAAACCTCATAAAGACTGTATTACCGTCTAGCCTATTATCCGAGTCTATGTACCATAGGGTGTAGCTAAGTGGCCAATGAAGCGGGATGAGAACAATGAGGTCTTAAGGTTCAAATCCCGGTTGAAGGCAAAAAAAAAAAAAAAACTAGTCATGATTTTGTCCCATTTACCTAAGTCTTGATGAGCAAAGTTACTTGGTATCTAGTGAAATAGTTGAGGTGCGCAATAGCTGGGCCTGAACACCACAGTCAAATAAGGAAATAGGAATCTATGGAAGGATAAGTGAGAATACTATTAAACTCTCTCGAAATATTCAGGAAAAATGAGATATATATATACCTCAAGTCTAACTACATAACTGTAGAGCATCAAACAAGTGCTCTCAAACTATATACAAAATTCGAAGTGGAATTGTCAAGCTCATCCAAGAGGACATACAATTTCACCCTCTTAGAACCATTATTGATTATTAAAGATCGCAAATACTTGCTTAAAGTCAACAAGGCGAATATGATTCATATCTGGAGGGAGGTAAATAAATGTTCAGATTTTTCGGCAAATGAAGATCACAGACATGAAAGGGAAGACACGATCAATGAAATGGACTTATGCACGATTTTAAGTAGTTTTATATTTTCCAATGTATAATTGAAACAAAAAACACAAGAGAGCTGAAATAGAGAACAAATCCCAAACCTTGTGATATAATTTTCTTGCAAGTATGATTGATTTCTTCTCCTCCTTCCCGAGTCTGTTCGTATTCTCTCTCGAAGTGATTTGAACCAAAGATGGAAACTTCAAACTCCAAATTTCCTTCATGTCTGAAAATCAAGCAATCTCCCAACTGTAACTCATGTTCTTTTGCAAATTTCGCCCAACCCTCTTCTAATAACCGTCCGTTCACTTTTACCTGCCACTTCTTACCAGCTTTTCTCAATATTGCATGTTCTTGATTACATCCTTTCAGATGCTTGGAAAAACCTACAGGAATTTTCTGCAAGATATATAGCATTCTATAAGTACTTAAAACCTATGTTGCTCAGACTCTTCAAGTATTTAAAACAACGAGTTCAACTAGTACTAATAACCGGATTCTAAATTTAGTATACAATTATATTATTTCAGCAAAATCTACTCGTTTGACAACATTTACATCCACCCTTTCGAACTCAAGAACACATTTTCCAAAAACAAAAAAAATTAAAAAGTAATCCTTCATCCCAAAATTCCCAGTTATATGAGGTAACAACTAATAATAACAACATCAACTCCCATAGAAAAATAAAATAAAAAAAAATCTTTTGCAAATTCTTCGATGATTTCTCAGATGGTAACTCAATTAACAATTATTATCTAAGAAAGGTCGAATTTTTTCTTGATTCCAATTTTTTTTCGACAATTAAGGTGAACTCAACTATCTAAGAAATCAAGACATTTTTTTCGGTGTTATAACAATAACAACATATAAAAGACTTTCGCCCTATCCCGCGAAGACAGAGATATTATTTTCGATAGACCATTGACTTAACAATGACAACAATTATAATGGGATTTTGTATGTATACCTAACAGATGAATAATAATAAAAAAAAATCCAAAAGAACATAAAACATAATAAGAAAAACTCACAATTCCATGCTTGAAATTTGGCAAAATAGGTTTAAAGAAGTGAGGCTTCTTTGGAGTAAATTTCATAGCGTTCTTCGCTGTTTTTTTTTTTTTTTTTTTCTTAATAGAAGTAAATTTATATGTTTTATGTATTTTTTTTTTAAAACTTAATGATAACTATTAAAAAGAAGTTTTCTAACCTAAAATTACAAGTTAAAATTATCCAGTCATGATTTTTCAACAATTATAAGTATCTTTTTGTACGATTACTTTTTTTATTAATATTATTTTATTCCTAATAACAGTTGTAATTTTTGAAATACACTTCATAAAAACGTAATTCATAATCTTTAATTAGTATATTTTTGTACTTGTCTTTTTGTGTAAAAAAAAAAGTTTTAAATTCATAACTTTAAAACTATTCAATATTTAAATTTTATCATAAATTAACCGGTTATTATCAATTTCAAACCGGTTATACGAACATTTTAATTTTAATATTCTTAAAACTTATTTGGATATGTTTTAAATGACTATGATATTCTAATGCTCATATTTTTCAACTACGAATTTTGACTCCAAATCACCTCTAATCTTCTTTAAATTTTGTATATTGCCTCATCTAGGTGTTCTCAACAAATTCAAACCATATCCATTGAAAATACTCGTTTTTCCTTTCTGGTTAAAGAATTTCTTTTTAGTTAGTCTCGAACAATTAAAAGATTCTCCAGAAGAAATAAGAAATTTGTGAATGTGGTATAACAATGGTAAGTTTTTGCAGGCCAAAAAATGATTAAATTGCATATCAGGCAACCAAAATATGGTCATTCCTGTAGTTCTCCATTGACAAAAAAGCAACAGGTCCAAATTCAAAGCATAACAAACATTTGCTCATACTGTAAACTACATATTGCTCTAGCAGTATAGCTAGTCAAATATCTCATGATTTAACAGAAAATCGAGTACATGATTATCTCACTCTACTGAAAAAAACCTTACGATAAAATTGGTATTATCCACAGTGGCAGCGAGAATGCAGAGTCGGAGACATCTTCCTGAAGAAGAGGTTGTACACTGAGATTCTGAACGCGATAAATACCCATATCATAGCCATGTACTACACTGTAATGAACTCCGGAGAAGTCATCTGTGAAGTATATGCAGTTACTCTCACATTCTGGGTACGTAGAGGATGGTATTGAGAAGGAATGATTGTTTCCTACAAAAATAGACCAATCACCCAAAGATTTCACTTCTTCACACTTATCGTTGCAGATATCCAAATTGTAAATTTTGAAACACCAAGTGGTTAGACAAGGAGTATCTGTGATTCTTGTATCAAACAAAAGCCTCATTATGGCATATATTTGGCCATTTACCTCGACAAGATATGTAGTAGCATACACCAAATTATCCAAATCGCGAGATGGTGGAAAAGCTATTCTCTTCAACAAAGAGCCGGCTAAGTCCCACATCAGAATTTCACCAAAAGTGTCGATGGCATAAAACTTCCCATCGTGACACATGGCATCATCAACATGGCCATGGATGCAACTCAAAGGAGTCCAAGCAACATCACCTGGCTTTGTAAATGCCATCTTCCAATTATCAGAATAGATAGCAAAAATAACACAATCTGATGAAGATGGACTAGCAGACAAGATAACTTTGTAAACAAACGAATCGCGGAAGCTCTTTCCTGTACAAACCAGATTCAAATTAGGGCATTTATGAAGTGGCGGGAGTGAGATTTGCCCCCTTGATAATGGATTCAGCAAGTGCATCTCAAAATTGGCACCTAGAGTGACCAACCAACCATGAGAAGAACCCCAACAGCGTTTATCCAGAACATCTGGCAAACATATATCATAACTCTTACAGTTGAAAGGACTATAAAATCTGCGCAAGCTCTCATCTTTCCTCTGAGGAAGCATCAGCCAAGGAAGGAATGAGCGTGAAGAATTGCCATTTTGTATTACACAAATTCTCCATGCCTTACAGACTGCACCAAACCGTACCCAGTCTTCAGCAAAATGCAGCCGACTAGCAATTAACCCCAAAAGTTCCACTGGCAACTTACACCAATCTGATGTTACCTGGAAAAACAAAAGAAATAAAAATTACAGAAAGGACAACAAGAACTTTCTAAAACCTGATTAACGAGTGAGTATACTCTACACATCTTATTGAAATATCAGGGATATGCAAGACGGTCAACTATGCGTTCTGATATTTCAGACTGGTTTAATTCCCTTATTGGAATTTCAAAACTAACTTTCCTAACTATAGGTGTGGCCGCTATGGAGGATAATGTTTAAGAAAATTATCCACGAAGATATTTTACCTTTGAAGAATTTTTTTAAAAATCATTTCAAGTGTTTGGAAGGATATAGAAAGTTGGAACAACCCGTAATCATATACATTGTAGGATAAAGTACAAATATTGTGTTCTGACGACATTAAAGGTTGATAATAGTGAAGTGAGTGATGTGGAGTTGGAGTTTGGATACTGATAAAGGAAAAATTGACTTTGACCCTAATTTTTGAGAAACCGCTTTGCATAACTCAAGATAACTTATTTCCTTCATATACCAAAAACATCCTTAAATTCTTTTTCCTATTCACATTCCTGAAAGTAGCAAGTGGAAACCTTACCATTACAGTACTTAACCACCGAAAGAGTTTGCAACGTTTTGCTCTGAAAATCTTGAAATTCTGAAATAAATAAATAAATAAGAGACTTAAACCCAAGATACAACATATTAGAGAGACAAAATTGAAAATTATAACTATCAACTTCTAATCCTATCACAAGTTGGAACTGCCTCAAACTTCTCTTCAAGAAACATACAGAAAAATTCATGACCAATACAAAGAACTGTGTGGCTAAACGAAACAATATTTGACTTTGCACCAGAAATGTCTGTATATGTATGTGTGTACAAATAAATATATTCTCATTCTGAACCTCACTGACTCTAAATTCTGAAATAACATCAAGTCACACTCACACCCAACACCCTTTTTACTATTAGAAGCTTAAGTAGAGACTGTTATCACTTGCCCTGAAACAAAGCTCACCTCATATTACTAATATTATCAGTTGTGAGAGATAAATGCTGATCACGCTGCAAAAAGAAAGGAGTCTTTATGCAGCAACAACACAGACATTTTATCACCCAGTTGGGCGACTTTAAGGATCTCAAGTACTTGGATAACAAAAGGCAAAAGGAGTCTTTTTGCCTCAACTTCAACAGATACATGATCAATAATAGGGCATCAGTAAGGATCTCAAGAACTTAAATAACAAAAAGGAGTCTTTCTACCCCAACTTCCACAGACATTTTATCAAACAGTTGGGCGACAATAAGGCTTTCAAGTACTTGGATAACAAAAAAAGAGTCTTTTCTGCCGCAACTTTCACACAGACATGTTATGAAACAGCTGGGCGACAGCAAAGGATCTCAAGTATTATTTTATTTTTTTTATGACAAGGGAAACCCGCAGCCGCTACCCTTTGGGTGCGCACAGGGTAAAACCCCCGCTCCTATGCAATAGCTCGCAAACCACATAGGAGAGGTAACCCGCACTAGGCAAGCCCGGTGTGACGAGCTCGACCCAAAAGGCAAACCCCTTGCTTTCGCTGGCAAGGGGTTTCGAACTTGAGACCTCCAATATGGAAGTCCCAAGCCCAAACCACTGGGCCACCCCGAAGGGTAAAGGATCTCAAGTATTTTTTGATGCAATTTTCAGACAGATATTTTATCAAACAGTTGGGCGACAGTAAAGGATCTCAAGTACTTGGATAACAAAAAGGAGTCTTTCTGCTGCAACTGATACAATTGGGCTGACTAAGAATAGTTATAGGAGTATTATATATGCATTTTCTATTTTATAGTTGAGCCTGGGATTAGTTATCCCACCATATATATGAGATAACTTATCCCATTACTATGGCATAAATGGGGGGATAAAAAATTTTGGGACTAACTAATACCTACTATTTTATCCTGGGATTATTTTCCCTTATCCCTCATACCAAACGACTCTATTCTCTTTACCACAAGCATACCACTCACCTAGGCTACATCAGTCAACTTTTGAGAAACAAGCCAAGGCAATGAAAAGTTCCTACACCAATATCCTAGCCACTTTCAGTAACCCAAACCCAAATTAATCATATTATACTACTTCCAAAACCACTACCACACTTGTCACACATTTAGCTAAAGCCAATACAACTGTGTTGGACGAAGAAGAAGGCTAACCCCAGCTGAATTAAGTGAGAAAAGAGCTAAAGGATTATGCTATCTTAGTGATGAGAAATACTTGCCGGGGCATGTTGGTAAGCCTAAGACTCAGTTGATTTTGTTGGAGCTAGCTTTTGGGGGTGGTTGTCCCTGGGTTATAACAATGGTTTCACACAAACATTTTATCAAACAGTTGGGCAACAGTAAAGGATCTCAAGAATTTAGATAACAAAAAAGGAGTCTTTCTGTTTCACACAGACATTTTATCAAACAGTTGGGGGACAGACAGTAAAGGATCTCAAGAACTTAGATAACAAAAAAGGAGTCTTTCTGCCACAACTTTCACACAGACATTTTATTAAACAGTTGGGGGACAGACAGTAAAGGATCTCAAGAACTTAGATAACAAATAGGGAGTCTTTCTGCTACAACTTTCACACAGACATTTTATCAAACAGGTGGGCGACAGTAAAGGATCTCAACAACTTAGATAACAAAAAAGGAGTCTTTCTGTTCATACCTCGGAGAAGCAGCGATTGCTGGCAGAGAAGTCCCTGCCGAAGACTGACCAGATTTTCAAAATTCTTCAGCTTATAGATTTTGAAAGTCACTCCACAAATATAAATAGGAAAAAAATAAGAAAACTTTTAAAACTAAAATGTTATTTAATCTCGTGGTCATAAACATCTATTAAAAATACATTATTTTTTTAATTTGACTAAAAAAGATATAGTAACACAAATAGATTGAAACGGAGAAGTAAATGATCTCCAAAAATATTAATTTTCTATTCAGAAATAATCCACGTAACTTTAGAAAAAATCGTTTGTTCTCCAATGTGTTTAAAGAAATTATTTTTTCAACTTTTTGAACCATAAATGTGATCATTAATTGATGATTTTAATAATGTAAGTTTGTTTTATCTTTTTAGTTAATCAATTTGAGCTTATTACCTCCGTGTTATCAATAACTATTTACTAATAACGAGTAAATAACTTTTGAAATGATAGAAAACGTGTAATCCTTTCAAATGACAACAATGTCAATGTCATGGGTTCAATGCAGGAGTGTGAACTGTGTGATGATCTGGATTAGAGTCATGATTGAACGTGACCCTATAATTGTACACTATTTTTCGATGATGAAAAGATATTGCATATGTATAACAGAAACTACAAGGGAGCACAGTGCACCATAGAGTTATGGGGGGAAAGGAAAACAAGGCGGGGAATCGAACCCTCACCAACAAGGTGAAAGTTCAAGTAGCCTAACAGTAGATACGACGCAACTATTAGTAGTACTCGTTCTGGGAAGCTATATTAGAAGCTAAGTGGGCAGTCAGGAACATTTGTTGCAAAATTTGATTCCATTAACATCTCCTGGTCTGTTGTGATTGCTTCTCCACTCTCCAGTTGCCTGCACACTTGTCGAAGCTATTTGTCTTGTATGCATCCTTCCCACTTGGTCGTCCAACAAAATATCTAGTAATTGAGAAGGAGGATTCCGAAAAGTTGTATTTTCACTACCCAAATTTGTTGCCGAAGCCATGCATGCTAATCTATTTGCTAAGATGTTTCGCTCCCTGTAGACATGATGCAGTGGTGGATCACCCAAAAGCCGGATGAGGTACCTGCAATCATTAAGAACAGGCGAATGAAGAACATTAGGAACATGTATCAATGTAATTACCCCCTAAGCATCGATATTTTCTGCAAAGGTATAAACCCATGCTGCAGGGCAAGCTGTAGACCCCGAAGCAAAGCATGTATCTCAGTAGTGATAGCAGTTGTATGTTTGCTGTAGCAAGAAAACCCAATACCCATTCCCCTCTTGTATTTCTGAAACTCCTACAGCATGGGAAGTATAATTGTTCAGAAAACCAACCGTGTTAAGCATGTAGTAAGGGCCATTTTTGGAGGTTCCCATTTGACATACAAAGGGATAGTTTTCTTTTTCAGGGGAGTCCGTAAGATGCCAGTATTTCGTAACATTTTGAAGACTTACATTCTGATTTAAAGTGAAAGTGAGTCCTTCAAAGATGTATCTATTGTGACTCTTCCATGTGAGCGACAAGGTAAAGGATAAAATGAGTAAAAGAGGGATGTTTTGGCTGCTTGAGTATTAGATTCATTAAGTAGAGCAGGGAAACAGTTGGCAACTTCCAGAGAATTAAGTAACAAGATGGTTTATGAAAGGTAGGAACACCTAATTGAGCGAACCGTGGGACACAAAAGGAAGAGATGATTAATAGTCTCATCACAGTCAGTGTTGCAAAATTTGCATTTTGGAGAAGGCACAATTTGAGGAAATGCAAAAGGCTGGCTGCTGGGAGACAACCATGAAGACATTGCCAAGGGAAAGGGATTACTTTTGGTGGGAGGTGCAAATGCCACAGCCATGAAAAGAAGTTGTTCATGTGAGTTGGTTGAAGTAGGCTGCGATAACAAGAGTTAACAGTAAATCCCCCTGTAGAGGTAAGTCCCCAAAATAATTTTGTCATACTGCCTCGAGTGCTGGGGAATATATATATATATATGACTTCAACAAGAGATAAGATATTTTAAGGTAATTCAAAGGAAAGAGAGTCAAGTCCCAAGAGTTTTAGAGTCTATAATGAGCAATATTATGGCTATGGTCAAACTTGTGCAAAGAACCCTCAATAGTATACACTTCATTAACCCATATAACTCGATTTTTTGACTTAATGTACTGCAGATATTCAACCATCAATTGGTATCCTTACGTTAACAATATAAGTATTCAAATTTAAGTGTTTAATATTTTAAGGTTAAGAAATACAATTCATCTCATAGGATTTTGCCTTGTGTTCTCCCTACAAGTTAATGCAACACCTTTAAGTTATGTTTTCCCCCCTTCTCTAACGAAAAACAGTTTGTAAATATTAGCATGTAAGGAGCCTACCAGATACATCATAACTAATACGTTATTCCAGAAATTTTTTTGCAGATTTCTAGTCGTTTACGCATAGCTAGTATATGGTAAATACAAATCATAGCAAAGAGAACATGAGGAGAACCAAAATTACATGCATGATGTTCTTAGCACATCTGCAGATTTAGGATTTAAATTTGATCAGTTCAACCTTTATAGTTGTTACACTGAACCCATTTTATTTTTGTAATTATGGATTCAGAATTTAATATTTGTTGAAATCTTAGTGGGATTTTCACACACAACACACATCTAATTTCTGTAGAGAAACTATGGTGTCCAGTTGAATCCATTAAATATAGATCGCATCTGTTTCTGCTCAAATCTACATTAGAACTATCTAATCACCAAACATACCTGCTGCTATAGTCATAAAACTCTTCTAATTCCTCCTCTTCATCATCAACACCGTCACCATAATGCAATTTGCAACGAATTTTTGCTTTCATATACTTCTGAACTGCTTCTAAACTACCAAAAGGATGACCTCCATCGTTGCAAGACAGGCACATATAATACTTCTTAACCTGAGGACATAAAGAGAGAATTTTACTTTGTTATTAACATTAGTTTTCTGATTAAATAATACACACATAAATATCTAAGTAAACTTGAAGAGTAGAGAAGAAAAAGGAAACCAATAATATTACCTAGAGACCAAGATAAGCGAGGAAGCCTTTAGGATCCTCCAAAAACTTGACATCAGGTACGAAGAACCCATGCTTCTTGTGCATGTGGACCAAAAATGTTACCACACCCATGTCGAATCCTTCAAGAATGAATAACTTTTGGAAGATCCAATATACACCCGGTGGTATTTTTGAAGGATCCGAGAAACATAGTCTCAAAATGTGTGTGTTTCTCAGCGGACAAACCGCCAATGGGGTGCACATTAATACTGTTCTTCACATTCTCTCTAGCTAATTCTTTGTCCTTCCCAGAATAGCAGAACTTCCTACTTAATCGGCACGGTGGAGTCCACTGTACTCCATGTTAAGAAATATGCAGCATATCTTCCATGATCTGTTGCGGTGCAGAAAAAGAGCTGTGATGATGATTGATGACAGTTTTGGTACCATTTTAAGCCATGAGAACTCCAAGCTGCCGCTTCAGTTGACTCTCTCAGAAAAATACTCGACAATATATAACTCACCAATCTTCCTTGCAGATGATAGAAAGTACAAGGAAAATAATCATTGATATTCTCTATCAATAACTTGAAACCATGCAAGTAGTCTCAACTTGAAGAATGTAGGGGCAAAGAAAATTAACGTTTTGATTTAGCTTGTCCATTGATCAACCTGTTATAAGTAGCAATATCAGGTATAAACCCCAAATCCAACATCTCTTCCACCAAAGCTTCCGATTCCTTCTTTTTACCCTCCCTCTTAAAACCTGATACCAAAATATTATATGTCACAGTATCAGGATCCAAGCCCTTGTTTAAACCCAATAACCTCATCTTATTTGCTTCCTTCGCTCTTCCTGCTTCACACATGTCACTAAGAAGACAATTAAATGTTACACTATCTGGAAGCATACATTCCTGCAGCATTTTCTCCATAATTACATATGCTTCGTCAATCTTTCTTGTTCTCCTTAAACCTTCAATTAAGGTCGTACAAGCGATCAAGCTTGGAGAATTCCCATTCCTCCATAACTCATGCACCAATTCCATTGCTCTGGCCACATTCCCTTCCCCACAAAGCCTCTCAACTAACCCAAAATAATCAAATGTTCTTGGCAGCACCCCTTTCCTTGAAAAGTCAACCAATAAATCACACGCTTTCAACACCATTCCTTTCCTGCAAAGCCCATCAACCAAAATCTCACAAGTCACTGCTGAAATCTCCCATCCCATCTCAGTCATCTCATAGGCCATCCCAATCCCTTCCTCAATCTTACCATCCAAAAGAAACCATTTAATTAAAGTATTAAAACTAACTACATTTGGAGCACATCCATGAGTTTTCATCTCCTTAAACATTTGTAAAGCCAGGCCCAATTGCGAGTTCTTACAGTACCCAGAAATCAAAGTATTGAATGTAATTACATCAGGCTTTAATCGATCTCCAATCATCCTATGGTAAAATTCCAGAGCCTTATCAAAATGCTTAAACTTCACAAATCCATGAATAATTATATTGCAAACAGCAACATCAGGCTTCCCATCAATCAATCTTCTCATTGTGTCAAAAGCTAACAAAGCATCATCAAATCTACCAGTTTTGCAATAAGCATTAATGGCAAAACGAAAAATAGGTTCAGTTTTGGGGCAAGAGAAAATACCATCAGCACACGGGCAGGGGTTAGAAGAAATAAATTGGAGGAGAGTAGTAAGAAATTGGAGACGGTGGGTGGTGGCAAGAGTGCGGACCATCCACTCAAAGGTGGTGTGATCATGGCGGAACGAATCAACAGAAGCAGCATAGTTGAAGAGGTAGAAGTCAAGGTTAGTGAGGATAGGGTGGTAATGGACACGGTTCTTGAGAAAAGAGAGGAAATCTTTGGCAGTGAAAGAGGGTTTGAGGTGGGTTTCCATGAGTTGGTTCAGTTGGTTTTGGGTAACAGGTGTGAGGTTGTTAGTGGTACACATTGAAGAATCTATCGTTCTTACAGCAAGAGGTAGCAGTGAAGTCCGATCAGAAGCTGTTGGTTTTGGAATGGATTTGAGAAATTTCTGAAATCCCATTTTCTTTTAGTTCTACGTTCCTTGGCTGAATTTATCCTCCCCACTTCTCACATAGCTATATTTTCATGAAAACCCTGTAACGTGAAATTATGTCATTCTAAAATCAAACTAACAATTAGTTACTTTGATCAAGAGATTACATCACACACATTATAGTATAAGTAAAAAAAAAACCATCTTTTGACAATACCACTGGATACCAAAGGCTGGTACAATGTCTAAAGGTGTGTTAAATGTTTTCCAATTTTTCCATATTCGGTTGGTCAAATATTTTGGAAGACATTATCTCTCGGAAAACAAGCTCCTTAAAAATGACTTCCCTAACGAAAGTAGGGAAAACAAGTTTCACTAGTGACATTCCACATAGATTGTGTCATCCCCACCCTCCAACATACTTCATTTTCACCCACCTAGCCCATAGCCCTCATCCCCACCCATATAGGAAGCCTAACGTAAAGGCTGTCGTCATTCCCGATAAACAAATCAGACCTCATACTAGTGATACAATTCTGATGTGGGTGCATTAAAAATGAGCCTTTTGCAGCAACTTTCAAAGAGACATTTTATCAAACAGTTGGGTGACAATAAGGATCTCAATATTTGGATGACAAAAAACTTTCTTACCTCAGAGAAGAACCAATTGCTTGCAGACGAAACCCTGCCGGAAAACAACCAAATGAATGCCTTGCTTGCAAAACTGATCGGATTTTCAAGATTCTTTACTGTGGCTTTTGATTTGCTTTAGTGTTTTGGCAGTCACTTAACAAATTCTCAAGTTCTAATAAAACAGGAACAATGAATTACACTTTATAGACCCTTTCTTTATCCAAAGATCATGTTTTCAACTTAGGTATATTAGTATCATTTAATATTGAGATATTTTTTCAATTTAAAGCCAAAAACTTGAAAACTTATTTCTTTTCTGCTATTAATTATTACATTACTATTAATCTATATATTATTTTTTTGTAATATAGAAGAATTTTATAATTTAATTGTACTTAAAATAGGAAAAATAAGTTATTTTTAAGGTGCGTTCATGAAAAAAAATAGAGGTTAACCATTACACCGTTCAATAAGTGCTAATCTATTATCGAACCAATTGATATCTTATAAGTTGGCTAGCAGATTAATAAATTCAAAAGTCGATATCTTGTAAGCGTCTAAAGTTTCAATCATTAAATACAACAAACAGAAAAGGAAAATAGCAAGCAAACAATAATATTTGTATTTGAATTTATACGAAGGTTACAATCTTTATAAAATCTTTAAGAAAAGATATGTAATCCATTGATTCTTCTCTTCAATGATGTTCTTGATTTGATAGAATACTTGCGGTTCAACTTTTAGAGCGAAAACTTCTTTGTACTTGCGGCTCAACACTTGGAACGAAGACTTTATTGTATACGGAAGACTTGCAGATCACCACTGAAGAGCAAGGATTCTCTATGTATTTCTATGTGCCTTCTTTTTCTTCCTTCTTTCTTTTGGTCTTATTAAGACCTCTTTATATATGCTTGAGCTAGGATTTTAGGGGTATTTTTGTCCAAGCAATTTTGGTCCTTGGGTTTGAAGAACATGAGTTGGGCTCGTCTTGTCAACTTAATTGACTGACCCAAATGTGATTTGGACTTTATTTAAGTCATATATTTTGACTTAAATATTAATCCGACTTTATTAACTAGTAATTTGACTTGGTCAATATATCATGAATTTATAGATTAATCCAAAATTTAATATGGATTTATCAATAAAATTTCATTGTCTACATATCTGTTAGGCCAAATTAAGCGAGATTATCCAGTTGATCCATCCGATAAGCCCTACATTGAGGTATATATGTTTTCATAAAAACAAAAATAATAAGCAGAGATTTACTACCTACAAGATAACGATATTCTATTCTTTTCATATCCTACTCATAGTATTTCACTAGATATATTGTTATTGTAATAAATAGAAACTTAAATAAATGATTACCAATTTTTTATTCTCTTGCTTAATATATTCTTTAAACTTATTAGGATAAAAATAGTATGTATGTAGACTATATTAACCCAATCTTATAAAGGTTCATAGATTGTTTTCAATAGATCTCGATTAAAATTTCATACTATGCCAAATTTTATTTATTTATTTGAAGGGAACAATCATGTAATTTAATTGACTTTAAAATTTTCATTTTATTCCTAATGAAATGATTAATAACTACACATATATTTATGACTTATTTTAGACTTTATCTTTCTTAAACTTCATATCAAGTCAAACTACATCATATAAATAAAAACGAAGATTAAATTTTGACTAAATATATATATGTATCATTCAATTTTGGATTGACTAAAAAGGAAAGTGAGTCATATAAATTAGACGAAATAATTTTTTTTATGCTATGTGATATATTACGGAGTGAATAGTTTCCAAAAACCTTTTGTTTGAGAGGGATAGTTAAAACCTCTCATAATTTAGGGATAAATAGTTTCAAAAATCATATTTACAAAAATAATTAAGACTTTTCATAGTTTAATCGAGTGTGCCATTATAAGGATGTTTTTAATTAGGGACCTTTAACACTTGGTTTAGATGGTTGTTAGCCTGTTATCCATTGTATTGTATTGTTAGTATAAATACGATGTTTGTTTTGATTGTTACTTAAATTCTATTATATTGTATTGTATTATTTAAATTCATCGTTACGTAATAACGAAAAGACCCGTTCTAAACAGCACACTAGCAAAATTTCCTTTGGATCTCCATTTTACGTGGCAATCCCTCATTGCCTACACCCATATCCAACCGGTCCCACTTCCGATTTTGCAAAATCCACGTGTCTGGCTCAGAACAACCATCTAAACAAAAACAAGTTCTCCATCGTTCCTCTTCGAAATGCCAAAATCACCATGGCCACTTACGTCGTCGCCGGTACCGGCACCACCGCCACCGCTCTCATCGGAAATACTCGCCGGAGATCCTCTTCTGCCGCTCAATTGATTTCTCATCTAGCTCTTAACTTCCCTCATAACCGCTCTTACCGTCGCCGGACGTCGAAAACATTTTCTCCAATCTATGCTTCTGTATCTGCATCTCCAGCGCCGGTTACTAAACCGGATGACCTCGTTGGTGCCATTCTTTCTAAGGTACAGCTACTGGACTTTTATTTGCTGATGATTTTTTTTAAGGAGAAAAAGGGGAAATTGATGAAATTATTACTATTAGAGTTCCTTTTAGGTAGAACAGTAAGATTAGTTGCTTTTTGCAGTCTATAACTAGTAAGTAACCTTAATTTGGCGATACAAACAGCTTGTATGTTTAATTTACTCACTGAGTCCAAATTATCAACAGTGATAAACGGATACTACGATTTCTAGTACATTGCGTGTGACCTACTAGTCAATAAAGTGCATTGAGAACTATAAGGTCTTGGGTGGTCTCAGGTACAAAACTCATCGGAGTCGAAATTTAGTTTCTTCCTATTTGTCCAAACCTTGGTTGAACAGAGTTACCCAATACCTATGCCAGTGAGAGGTAGGAGTATGGTGGAATTTGTCGAGGTGTGGTCAAATTGGCCTAGACACCATATTTATATATAAAAAAAGTTCTTTGTTTTACCCCTCCATAGGAGCTCTTACTCACTCGAACACACAAACTTATGGTTGGAGGTGGAGGGTGCTTATCAACTCCCTTTTATCTGGTTCTTTGTGTTATGCAACCAAAAACCTGAAGTTCAACATCTTAACTGCTATTGCTTATTGTCTGTTCCGAACTGTTGCTTAATGAAGCATCTCCGAAATTTTCGTTTAGTAACTTTCTATTTACCTTTGCTCTTGTGGTCGTTAACCATTTACACAAAGCCTCTTCAAATTAAAGTAGCAAAGTAAGCCAAAATTCAGCACAACCCTGGCCTATCATTGCAATTTGCTGCACACTTAGGTGAAAAACGGATACCTCTGTACTTCAGAAAGAACCCAAAAGGAAATAAGAAGCACAATAAAATCTCTATGTGTGCATTCTCTAGGCTCATCCACTTAAACACCAGTGGTAGAGTTTTGGGCCTCAAATAGTTTGAGAGAAAATAGGCCAGTGCTTCCTTGTAGATTTTAAATGCTTACCAAAAGATTAGGGGAAATCCTGATTAAGAGTCTAACTGGATTGTGCTGCTTCATAAAGTAGTGAAACTAACATCTCGGGGTTAAAGAAGCACAGTAGATCTTACCTACCCAACCACATGGCAAATGCCTTATATTGTAGCAGTTAGCCAATTTGGTTGTATTTTAACTGCATGTGTTACTTACATTATAGTTGCATTCTGAGTACTTTTGTTTAGGAAGTTTTAATAGCATCAGCTGAGCATCATTACTTAACCAGGTTATGCAAACAGATCGAGGGGTTTTGCTGACAAGGGATGAGCACAAAAGTGTAGCCGAAGTGGTTCAAGAATTGCAACGTTTTTGCGTGGATGAACCTGTGAAATGCCCTCTTATATTCGGAGGTAAACATGTTAAGAGAAAGAGTTCTATTAAATTTTCTATGTTAATGTCTCCCAGTTTGACACATTAATTATCGGAAATTATTTTCTATGTTAACGTAGTATATCTGGCCTAGTTACGCATCTTATTTTCTCCTACATTGTGCCTATTTCTAGTAAGGCATGAGTGCACCATTCTTCTGAAGAATTTCCTACCAATTCTTTCTTCTTGTTTTGAACAATGTGTGCACACAAATTAGCATACTCCCCATACATTTTAGAATTTCCACTTTTTAAGTCTGCAGAATATGATCTGTGGAGAGATACTGTGTAAGAATGTATGAACTTGTATACCATAGAATAAAATGCACCAAAATAGGGAATAACCTCTGTAGTTATACATGAGCTGGCTTGAAAACATAAACAAGCTAGAACCTGTTAAGGAAGTTGGGTGCTCACGTTGATTATTTGCACTTAGCATGCATCAAATGTTTTGGATGATAGGTAAAATAACTTCTTTAAAAAATTAACACCCGTTGTGTGACTATCATGTAGTTATTTGTAATATGAGTCCGTGTGTGTGTGTATGTGAGTGTGCGTTTGATTTAACTGTAAGATTTGCTGCTGATGAAAGATGTTAGTTGTTTCTCTGGTTATCTGAAGAGCAATAGTTACTGAAGTTTAATTCTAGCAGTTTATGCATAAAGGCAATAGTTATGTTAACCATGTCTTATAGCAAATCAAAAGCTCCTAAACTGCAATTAATAATGAATTCCTTGCAGAATGGGATGTAGTGTACTGTTCAAATCCCACTTCACCTGGGGGTGGCTATCGGAGTGCATTTGGTCGCCTTTTCTTCAAACAAACGAAATGATTCAGGTTGTTGAAGCCCCTGACATTGTAAGGAACAGAGTTTCCTTTTCGCTTTTGGTTTCCTTGATGGTGAGGTTTCCTTAAAAGGTACGAAAACAGAGGCAAACATGTCCTATTTCCACATTTATCTCTTCTTACACATTCTTTTATCCTTTTATAGAGGAATATAATTGTCTTTGTGTGTTTATATGGTAAGCGTGATTTGCTGCATCAAATGCCAAACATAACAAGGGGAACACTTCCTTAGCATGTCACTGCTTGCAATTAGCATACTCTACAAGAATAATATACAGACATCTGACTGTAATTCGATTCGTTTTGTCTATACACATTTACAGTTTCTGGTTTCTAAGTTGCCCGTATTTAGTTCACAATCTGTTAAATCCTAAACCCTTATAAGGATGTTTTTATATGAAAGCTTTGAGATTAGTGAAGTACACAACAACTAAGCCTTGATGCCTACTAGTTTGGTATCTCCTATGTGAACTTTTGCTTCTGTTATGTCCTATTCTTAGCTAAATTCGCTTACACTTCGTCTCATGAACGAAGGTGTATGACACCTTCTGCTCTAGGCAGCCAAGCACTGATGAAGAACTTGCTCACATAATCATTTCTTAGATTTAATATCGTTGTCCTGATGTACGAGCGAGTATTTAATATGTACTTTCATGCCCAAGACAAAACTTGATACCTCAATTCAAGGTCTAGACTAGTTCATGTTTTGGTGCCCAGTTCTTTTACCATTCTAGTCTGGGATTATTCTAACCACCAGCTTCATGATGCAGGAAAGTTGAATGTTTTAGATGAAAAATGGATCCAAGTTGTGTTCGAACCGCCTGAACTCAAGGTAGGAGGGTTAGATTTTCAGTATGGTGGCGAGAGTGAAGTTAAACTAGAAATAACATACATTGATGAGAAGATCAGATTGGGAAAAGGCTCAAGAGGTTCCTTGTTTGTGTTTCAAAGACGCAAACCTTGAAATGCTAGTCTTTCAAGTTTATTCTTATAGCATACAACCAATTCTATGTACAAACATATCGTAGAAAGTGAAACAAATTGGAACATTGTTCAAAGAGAACTCGTCGCGTTATTCTGGGTGTGTAATGTAAAACTATCACTAACTTCCAGCCTTTGGAACCAAATTTACCAAACTCAGAAAGAAAGTGAATTAATCTTCTGTATCTCTGTGATTTAGTGAAAATTGCTAGCAATAACTGTTGTTTGTTATTGTGTGTGTACTCCCTCTGTTCTGAAATACTTACTTATGTTTCATTTTACGAAAGTCAAACTACATGAAGTTTGATCGACCAACTTAATATGAAAAAGATTGCAACTTATAGAACTTCTCATATAGTTTTTGGGGCATTGAGTCTAAGAAACAAGCAGCAGTTTTCAGCTACAGTACGAATCGATTTGAATTCAAGACTCAAACAATCCATAGCATGCACAAAATGACAGGAAAAAAATGGAGTTACCAAAGACTGCTTCATCTTAACCAGGACCAACTTTAGGAATGTCATAATGCTCAGTAAGATTAGCTAGGTATCGATTAAATTCTTGAATTCTATCGCGGTGGGATTTCTTGGCTTCTTTTGCCAGTCGTTTGATGTTTAGTTTCTCCCACTGCTCGAGGTATTTTCTCTCTGCTAGTGTTAGATGATCGTCATTCTTGGTTACTTGTTCTTTCCTCCCTCTGTCGTCAAGATAACTACCGTCTATATCATCCTCAAGTTGGTTTGTTGTCAATGTGTTGTTTCCACCTGCCATCCACAAACAAGGTTATGTTCAACACACGAAAGTTAGAGTCAAGTCGAATGGACATAATATCCAAGCATGGATTAGTTACATACCATATTTTCTAAACTAAGTTCACAAATTATCAATAAACAAATGCATAATACATAGATGACACCTTAACTAAACACCCCCACATTGAAAATGCACGTTTAGACACCTTAACTTTGTTTAAGTTGGGCTCGTAAACACACTTTTTCGGATGTACATTCTCAAATTGTGCATTTGAGATATGCATTTTCAAAGTTGGGATGTAAAGTTGCTGGTTGAGGCAAAGTTAAGGACATCTATATATTTTGCCATAAACAAACTGTAGATGTTTATGCTTTATCAAGATGAACTACATGATACATATCGATTTTCTTTGCTTTTTCTTCATCTTCACTGAAACAATAGAAATAGCTGCTGATCTCAGATAAAATTACGCGTCTTATGCTAGGGCAGTTCCCTTTGCTAAAAGCCATGAGACTTTAAATAACAAGGTTGTCAAACTCATATTGACACTAAAAAATGAGATTGACAACGGAGACACAAAAGATAAAGCAAACATTAGTGAACAAGGTATTTAACTTTTACAAGGATGAGCACAGAAAACACGATGAAATACAACAACATTGATCCTCTCCAGTAAAACTCTACCAGATGTTCTTTTTGCATAAGTTATAACCACACAGAATTGACTATTTTCAGTATAGGTCGTTAAGATTTTTCTTCTAAAGATCAGCATAGGCTGTTAAAACGCATGACATCTCATGAAGTAGGTGGAATACCATGCCAGTATACATATATACCGCGGCTAGAAATAAGAAGTGCAGTTGAATGTTAAACCTAAGATAACTAGAAACGAACAAAAAGCACCACCCATAAGTAAGGTAAAATGAAACAATCAATTATCAGTTAGGCATGATAACAGAGAGAACAAGATATGATCTTCAATGAGCAAAAGAATGATGCTTCAAACTTTTTTTTTGTTGGTTATTACCTGTCACTTGAGTCACAAGATCATACTGATGCTTGTGTTTCTTTTTCTTTTTCATCCTGTTAGATTTCACATCTAGAGCTTTGCCCTTTAGTCTTAACTTCCCAGCAACAACGTTTTTGTAATCTGACATCTTACCTGATAGAATAAGTTCAAATAAATTAACCTCATAACTTAAACTGGCAATGTGCAACTAGTTCAACACCCCTCCCCCCCTCCTCCCGGGTTATCATGGAGGGTAAGCATGTTCGTTCGGAAATGCTTTATCTATAATATACACATTTCCTCCCCCCTAAAACTAATTTGAGATTGAAGATTCCTCCCCTCCTTTCTCCCTCCAATCCCAGAGTGAAAGATACAATGATAAATAAAGACAGCTCCCCGTAATCAACAACATGATAAAAAGATAACCAAAGCAAAAGAAACAACGGGTAGTGATAGAAATTTAAGACTAACAAAATACCAGATAATACAATATTCCTGGTCAAGATACTACCCCACCCCCCAAAAGCAACATAACATTATGTCATACTTATCGAATCTAGCAAAATTTGCAGGCACACAACATTTCTGGTTTAAACCTTCGTACAATCAAGAGCAATCGCCTCAAGTAAAATTCTTATTAGCGATAATAACAACAAATATGAGCCGAGTGTCTTTCAGAAACAACCTCTCTATCTCCCCGAGGTAGAGGTAAGGTATGCATACACTTTACCCTCCCAGACCCCACTTAGTGGGATTTCACTGTATGCTGTTGTTGTTGATAATAACAGCAAATAGAAGAACAATCCATCTATCATATTCCAATGACCAGTTATAAACTTCAATTTTCGACAAAAATTGCTACTCCTATAATTCAACTTTCAAATAATTTCTTTATAAAAATAACATAGAAGAAAAGATCTTTAAACTCCCACACCAAGCTTCAACAAAGATCTCCACTCAAAGAAATCCATGAACATTTAATCTTTTTCATTTACCTTACCTAAAATCATCCATGTTAAATCTTCATCAATTTCAAAGGGCAAGTTATAACCACCCTTTTTTTTTTTACAAAAAAAAAATCCTATCTTTACCGTCAATGAAATGAATTGAGAATCATGACGTGTCAGGTTCAAATCCCATGTATAAAAACACTAGTATCAACTGTACTAGCTTTGATTAACACACTCCACTTGTGAAATTACACTAAATATATTATTGTTATATCAGTCTTGATGAATAGAGTTATCTGATATCATTAGAGGTGGGAGGTATACTCAAGTTTATCCAGACACCACGATTATTAAAAAGAACTTATCTTTACAGGAATTTCATGTACAATGTCATAAATACACAAACGAAACACTGAATAATTCAACAAACTACGATTAAAAATTCATGTTTTTTTTTCTATTGCCAATTTTGCAGTTTAAATAGGGGAACAATTTGGGGTTGGGGGGGTATTGAGCATACCTGTTTGAGAGTGATGAAGAGAGATCATTACAATCATCAATTGCTAAGGAACAGAGCTCCATTTTAGAGTATCTTGTTTGGTTTCTCGAACATTCTAGGAGTCACTGGAAAACCAAGAAGAAAAAAAGAAAAAAAAAAGAGGAAAAGATTATTCTAATGCCAAACAGGCTCAATTTTTTCGACATGTTATGCGGTGAAGTGGTAGGACTATTTCATCTTAATCAGAGATTTCGATTTAAGTTTCGATTATGAAGAAAATCTTGTTGAGAGTATCACCTCCACCTCTTCAAATGGGTCGTGTAGTGTGCGATCTCAATTTAGTAAGATTTTAATGCAGATATATACTTTAGGATGGTCTTAATCCTTGTAATAGCTTTTTTTAATATACTTATAAAATATTGTGTAATTATAAATTAATTAATTTATTAACTTTTACTACTAACAAAGGTAAAAATGGAAAAAAATATTAATTTTCTCTGATTTTGCTAAAATTAACAATTAAATAGAAACTAATATTATTATACTAAAATATAAAGGAGAACATAGGATAAATTTGGAAGTTTAAAGTTAAATATGAATAAAAATTATTCTTTTTAGAGAAACTAACAAGAAATGGAACACGTAAATTAACATACAAGAAGTTGTTCTTCTAGATGAGAAGCTATTTTTAACATTCTTAGAGAAAGTAGTGAGTTGTATCACATAAATTAAGATATAACAAGTTTGATTGTCGAAGCTGAAATCTCATTCAATTCATAAAAATTCGCCTATTACCCTCGTACTCGCACGCCTACAAACTTGAATGAGGACAATCAGACTAATCCCAAAAAAAAACTCTCACTCGAGAAAGAGGCCCCTTTCTGCCTTTCTTACTTGATTCGTCTTTCATCTCAGTGTCTTATCCAAATTGAATGTATACTATCCCCTATTGGACTAAGGGTTTTGATCGAATATTCATCTCTCTAGCTTCATTCAATCAGTAAGAAAAGAAATATGGAATAAAGAGTTTTCATATTCTAGGTGAGAAGCTATTTTTAACATTCTTTTAGTGAAATTCCTGACTCGACTATTATCGTGCAGTTAGAATGTGAACTTATTCTCTTGCCAAAAGGCCTTCTAACTAGAAATAACTTATTAGAACCCTCCAACAATTCTCACAGTGAACTCGGATTAAAAGTTTTGGATTAAAGTTTCAAACAGCAATTTCACTACATTAATCTGGTCAAAGTAATACATTGATAACTTATTAGAACCCTCCTACAATTCTCACATTGAACTACTACATATTCCTCATAAGTCATAATATTCATTCTCTTCCAGTTAGTTTTCTTCTTCACGAGTCGGCGGCGACAGCAACTGCAGAAGCTTCTGGTAAGGAAAAAATTTTCACAGGTGAAGTTTGGGTTTTGAGTGGAATGTGTGAAGAACCAAGTAACTCCTTCTCCTTCTGGATCCCAGCACCTACGATTTCAAGAACTTTCCGAACTGCATTTGCAAGCTCTATGATGTAATCATCTTCATGATCAATATCGTATAGAGCCTTCTCCATTTTGAATATGTATTCTCTGTTGTTTCCACAGGGACCATGAGCAGTCGCAATTTGCCTGCAAAACGGACATCAAAGGTAGTTGTATCTCAGCCAAAGAGACGGGAGATCTTCATTTTTACACATAAGAGATCATTTCCACGACAAAAGACTACTTATGGACAAAGGAACCAAGTCTTTACCAGGCCATCTCTTCCAACGGGGCAGGCCCTAGATAGTACTTATTATTCACTTTGTCAGGAGTGGATGTAAACCTGAAATGGGAAATTGGAACGATCAACTCAATGTGTATTTTGTCCACATTAACGAACTATATGAAGTTCTTGCACTTAAGCGGGGTACGTTAGAGAAAGTATGAAGGCATCAGCTAAAGAACTTACACTATTACTCCTGTTAAAGCTGGCTGAGCAGAGTCTTCATCCTGAAAGAGTAATTAAGAAAACATGAGGAAAGGAACTTGTTTTCTCTTTACCAGTTCGTTAACTCTCCTCGATAACTTGTGTTGTTCCCATTCCATAAAGAGATGCAAAGACTCAAATAAGTTATTGACTTACCGTGTAGAAGTCTACTAAGGTCTTGCTGTCGTACTCACACTCTCTTCTTTCAAGATACTGTAAAGTAAAGATTAAAGATTCGACATTAGAGTCGAGACGTGCAAGTGCTATGGGAGGATGTGTAGACTAATTGAAGACCGAGGCCCGGAGATGGGAATGGAACAACCATGAACATTATGAGAGATCATTAAAGAATAGTTCACATACCTCCATTGCCTTCTTTTCCTTTTCAGGTCCTCCTCGCACACAATAAACAGCACCCCACTGAAAGAAAAATGCACATATTAGTAATTGACACAAGAAATGGCAAGAACATTCGGCGAGAGATTGAAAAAAAACAACAAGAATTCAATATCAACAACAGTAACCACAATCATAGTCTAAATCACTGAAAGTAGAGTGCAGCAATTATACTCGGAGCTATTGTTCTCACTTCTCACTACACAAGGATGCAACACAAAAGCGCCTTGCATTGCAATTGGCATGTCAAAGAGATTATGTTATACAATTTATGATAGGTATTTAGAACATTAAAGGGACAGAAATAAAATGCAACATTTCTGCTCAAAGACATTCTCATGTAGAATATATTATACTCTGCAGGTAAAGAAAGTAACAAGCTATCATCGACTTACGCAAATAGCTCCTTCGCTTTCTTCCAATGTGCAAGTTCTTGCAGGGTGTTCTGGTGTACCTCTGTGATCAATGCAAGCTGATGCATTCATATAAACACAATTAACATCAAATTAAAAATTCTACGAACAAATATCAAAACTTGAAGCAATGACAAGCCTCGGGGTAACAACAACGTACCAAGATCAAACACACGCTTGTAATCCTTGATGTAACCAATCATTTTCTCATCATATTCAAAACCTGGATTCCATACCAAGGAGCCATAGCCAAAAATCCAGAAGACCATGATTGTGAAAGCTTCTTTAAGCTGAGAACTGCATTATTAACCATAAAATGGATTATTCAAATGGAAATACACTAAAATATACTCTTTTTTCCCCTAAAGAACAACTATAAAAGCAAAAAGTTGCTTTGGGAAACAATTTTTCTCCCAAATTTTGCTTTTGCCACTAGAGATAGAAACAACACTTCAGAGCAGGACAAAATACATCAACAAAATACAACTTTATTTGATTCTTTTCTATTTGTTTCATTGTAATGCACCAAAAAGGTTAAAGGGACCTTGTTTATTACAAAACCTATAAGAAAATAGCTACTTTATTTCCTAAAACAAATACTATTAGTTATAATTTTCCATAAAAGTAACAGCCAAAGTATATATTATCCTAAACAAACTCTTCCAAAGCCAAACCAAAAGCACAAATTGTATTCCCAAAAAATAAATGTTTTGTTGCCATAAACTATGCTACTCGGATACTTCAAAAATGTCATTGGGAGTGTAACTGATCCTCCAAAAGTAGTGCATTTTTTAAGGATCCGACACCAGTTGGAGAGTCCAAGCAATAGTATTCGAGTAATACAACGCACTATACAAGCTCTAAAACACAATATACAATTGATTAAGCACAATGTACAAACATTACGAAAAGATAACATTTTTACACATTTT